TTGTAATGAGTAGCACTTGCATTGAATCCTAAATGCAAGAAAAAATGCATCTGTCAACACAATGAACAACTATCAAGTTCCAATGTTCAGGGCTGGAACTCCAAGTTTTAATTTTATACAGGTTCCAATAACATTGTTTCATCCCAGTACAGTATTGAATCAATTAGTAACTAAGGACAGACATAATTTGATTTGTTTTATGTCTATATTTAAAGAAGTATTGTAGTTAATTAATGATACAAACTTTTGCTCTTATTCCGACTGATGATCTTATTGCACTCAACCTGCACCTCCAACTGAGCAAGCTCAGAGAAACACCACAAGCTGCTGAACAGTCCAGAGAGGTCAACAGTGCCTCTCCTATGTTACATTGTATTGGAACCATTTAAGAATTTAATATGCTATTAAACTGCAACAGATTTTGCTGCGCTGTGAAATACACACCTTTTTGCTTTACACATCCCCAAAATGATTAACATAAATTAAAGATGATATATACAAGGCAACGTAAAGATATGAATTTAAGCAGGAGAAAATAAAATTCATATCTTCAAGCAATTAACTGACTGTTTGCACAAACAACTGTGAAAAAGCAGGAAATGACATCATCAATACCCTCACTACTGAGGATATGAAAAGACAAGTACACGAAAAGTACACAACTTGAATCTAGCTTCGTATGCATTTTACAAGAGGTGTATTTTTCCGTAAATCACTCCTGTCTACATAATAAAAAGACATTGATAGCATTTCATATTGATTAACAGTACCTGGGCAGTTCTGCATTCTCACACAGAATTTCTGGTCCAACAGTGTGTATATAGTCTTACATGGAAATGGGCTAACACACAATTCTAGTTTCACCTGTTGAAAATACAATCATGTAGTTTACAAAACAAAATCATTCAAGGAAGCTGGCGACAGTTTCCAGCACCATTCTAACAGCTATACTTTGAAGGATAAATACCACTACTGTTTAACAAGTAAATTATGCTACAATAATAGTATCACACAAATGTCCAGTCATTGGTAAACAAGTTGTGATGACAAGCTCAGTGACCTCTATTTTTATTTTTGAATTGTAATAAGCATGATAAGATGCAACTTTTTACAAAATTCAAAAAAATTCTGTAGAGTAGGTACAGAGCCACCCTAAATTTTGAGTTGCATCTTACATATATCATGATGCTCATTACAATTCAAAAATAATAGATGGGGGTCATCGAGCTCATTTATGAGTTGCAAGCACGTAAAGCCAAAATTAAGAGTGATTTAAACCTGTAGGTTGTATTTTTGCTATGGCAACCTATTGTGCCATGAAATTGACACCAACATGTTCACCAATAATAATTGTTTGATACCATGATTGTAGTATCAACTGATGTACATGTAGATTGGTTATAATGAGCCATCATGTCTTGGAAAGTGTTGGAAACTGGTTTGAGCCACCTTAACTAACAATAATTAAGGGTAATTATAACGACTTTTCAACTGACTACCAACAATTTGCTGCCTGTTGGCCGACACTTTAATCTGAAAAATCAAGACTGTTGGCTTACTGTTGAGCATGTGTTGATTGACCGCTGGCCAACAAACAGCCAACAGACGGCCAACAGTCTGTCAAAAGATAGCCAAAAAAGGGCAACAGTCAGATGACAGATAAACGACTGTATGTTTTGAGGGCTGTTCGTCACTTTTACCGTAATAAGTACAGCACCTTAGCAGACATTTGTGAAAACTCAAAATGATGTTTAGTAATAGCTTTAAATAAGAAGATTATAATCTAAACCCCTTTGTTCAATTACATTAACACTCTTGGGAACTTGTTTGGCGTGAATCTTAAAGATCCTTCTTCCACAGGGATAAACTAGCAAGCAACAATAGAGGTCTATTTTCTTGTTCTTAACACTACACTAGCCCAACTGCATTAATTACAAAGTCTACTATTCAAGCATAATCCTCTGGTTACGATGCATGGTGTATCCTGTAGCCACCTTAAACATGAAGTTCAGCTAAAAAAAGGAATAGCACCTCCCCATTTCACACCCTCAGGCGTGAAATGTAAATTTGTACTTTTGGCATGCTGTGGAGTCAAGCAGCCTTCAATCTAAAGCATGCCTGAAAATCTCTTGAAACCAATGATATCAGTGATAATGTGACATAACTTGCTAATGAATATTCTTGGCAAAAGTAAAATTCATTATTCTAATCAGCTACCGTCAGAAAAAATGGATGTTTGTCTCCTGTTTGCACTTTGATAATTGAGTGACAACTGAGGGTGAGAATGGTTAGGCCAAGCCCCTTGTATAAGGGGAACTTCTCGTTTGAATGTTATTATTTATGATAATTATCATATTAAAGCCAATAAACAATTTACATTCAACAGTGACAAAGGTAAAACTTACCGTCGTTGTTACCATGTTCCCTTTTCGTGACAATTCTGTCACATGTATCCGAAAGTTTTGGAAAAGCTCCTTGTCATCACCCTTTTGCAGAGTAATATTTTTGGATATACCTTTCCCTGGGGCATTTAAATAAACATGATAGTTGACTGGATCAGTACAGTGATGTAGATCAATTTCAAGGTAGCCACCACCAGACCATGTGCATTTCACTCCTGAGGTATTGGAAGGAAAATGAAAGCAAAAAAAAAATCACTCAACACTATAATCAAACTGACCATGACAAGTATTTTCAAGAGTACTGAGAACATGAAGTTGAAAATCACTGGAATCTGATTTAATTCCTTGCTCCAATGTTTTCTTTTTTCATCAGAAAAAAAGCAAACAGAAAATTAAACTGCCCTTTTTCCTGTCA